CTCAGTGGAGACGTGTCACCATTTATGCTGGATTTAGTGACAATTTTCTAAAATGGAAACTCGTGGGAAATCATTACACTGTTTATACGTCCCCCTTGTCGGACGGTGTTATCCTGTGATATTTTACCAGTGTTTTCTACCGCATGATGGCATCTTGCAGAGGTTAAGGCAGAACAGGTCCCTCTGTAATTTTGTGACCACATTTTACTCACTGCAGAAGAAAGGATAACTGACAATTAAGTATTTGGGATGCTGCAGAAGGAACATGTGCAACTAATCAATGGCATCCTTTGGGGACCGTGATTTTAGAAAGCCGGTCAGGTGGAAAAATCGGGGTTTTGTGATTTGTGTTACATGATGATAATTGCACCTTTTCAATAAAAACGACATTTCCGGAGTAAACACTGAGCTGGGGAGGCTGCTGCACCAATGCTGTTGGGTTTCTGTCCCATTCAGACAAGTTTTGGTAAATGATTTCATAGAGTATGAAAGATCTCCCCCCCACACACACATACTTACTTAACACTATGTAAACAAAAATTATTTAAGTTTGACTTTTACAAAGCATGCTTAGCTGCCCAGTTTTATTGTTTATTGGAGTTTTAATATGTAATACTTATTAGATGCAGTTATATCCAAGTGTGTCAAAGTACATTACACACTCAGTACAGTCCCTCAATTTAACTCCTTTTCCAGTGTTCTCTTATTCACAGGCCATGTATTTGACACATATTCCTAAGTGGTAAACTAGATGAGCAAATACTCATCTGTCAGCGCATCTGCAAGGTTTCCCACTGTGTTTGTGTTAAAAGGCCCTAATCATCTAGATGATCTTCGGTGTTTCTTTTCCCACACATGGGCCATTCTCCTAGTTTCACTGAACAGGCTTCAGTTGAACATGCTGAGTTGCCATGTGTTCCCAGTTACCCTTCCCAGTGGAAGAGTTAGCCCTCTCTACTGTGGCCCACTACTGTCTCTCCTTGTTTGAGCAACCTACTTCTGTGGAATCTACAATTTTTTTTAGTTATTGTCATTGTTGCCTCTGGATTTTCCACAGTGTACTCTTTCTCTTTCTTGGGTTGTAGGGTGTGAGGCAAATGTGCTGAGTGGGTTGGAAAGATGATTTGGCTCTCTTGACAGCTTGTAGAAGAAACAGTTCATGCTGACCCACCACTGGTGGCCCACAGGACTTGCATGGAAGTAGCTACTCTCTGTCTTGGATCTGTGATTAGTTGTGCCTCTTACAGTATTTTACTCAGTGCTTATTCCTGTAAACTTCAATGGGATTTATTTCTAGCCTTTTCTCTAATTTGTCCACTTCATTTTGAGTGACGCTCTCTTCATAAATTATTTGACAGGCCTCACATGTCAACTTTGCAGGAATGGGCAAGCAGCATGGAAATTCTACTACCAGGGACTTCAGGGTACCAATCAGACAGCTCTGGGTCTGAGACTTTGCACAGTTCCACCACCAAAATGCTCCTTGCTGGATAGGTGTGGAGCTCTAGGCTTCACCAGCTACAGCTGAAGAGTTTCAGATCATAATATCCCTACTAGTTCCTCAGGTTGGGGAACCCTAGGCATCACACCTCCTCCTTTGAAAGAGTGTGTGTGTGTGTGTGTGTGTGTGTGTGTGTGTGTGTAGAGGGAGAGGGGAAGGGAGAGAGAGAGAGAGAGAAAGAGAGACTGAGTTTTATCCAGTTTTTCAAAAGGGTCCACAGATCATGTATGGCTAAGACCTGTACTACATAGATAATTATCCAAACTTTCCAATTGGGTAAAATGAGTTGGAAATCAGCACACACACACACACACACACACCAGTGAAATCTCTCACATGCTAGTTATATGCCAGAGACTCCTGGGGATGTCCCCTTGAATCCTCATGAGAATCCCGGAAGTACAAGGAGGAAAGATGCTGACCAAGTCTGACTATAAAACCCATGTGCCTTGTGCACCTCACTGCCTTGGGAATAAAAATAAATACCACCGAAAGCTAACAAAGACCAGCAGTCTAAACCAATGGGGACATGATTTCACATTTAAAAATGTGATTTTTCTGTACAATTAGGAAATTATCTAGGGAGTAAAGTTGGGTGATTTAAACCAGATGGGCTCTGACGATGTGGGATGAGCCAGGGTGTGGCTTTGAAAAGGGGTGGTTGCTCCTGAAGCTGAGCATCACAGGGAAGGAAGATGGAACAGCTGGGAGGCCCCACTGGCTGTCCAGTCTCCTGCATGAGATCATGTGTTTATGGCCCCAAAGACTGGGTTCAACTAATTTAATTCCTATTTGGCATCTCTGTACTAATTAATGACATTTGTTTCATTTGTACATATTATATTAAATTAGGTAAATTCTTCATCTTTGTTTGGACTAGAGTATTAATTCTATTTGTGTGCAAGGTTTCCTCACAGAGCTGAGGAAACATTCCTGACCACATAGCTGGAAGTCCTTACCAACACCCCCACTGCACTCAGGGCACTGCTTTCTTTATAACATTAAACCCTCAAGAGTAGCTTGATCATTGTTTTCTGGAAAATATTAGCTGAGATTAGTCGGGGAACAAAAGTAGACGCTTGTAAGTTTCTAGAGTTTTCTGCGTTTCTTTCTGCCAGGATGTCTTACCTAAAACAATGTGGTCATCTGTTTGGAGAGCCCCAGGGAGGGAGCAGGGTTAGTTCCTGTCGCTGTGTGCAGTGTAAACAGCTTTTTGCCTGTCTTTTGTCATTAATGATCATGCTGTGGATGTAGCCAGTGCATTGTAAGCCAATCTGTCAAGGCAAATAAACAATCCACCTTGTTAAAATTCCCTAAATCTTGCATTAATAAAACCGAAGGAGCCCCTTGAACACTCAGGAGATGTCTTCCTCCATACTGCAGTGATGGATGACATGTCTAAAGAGCCTGGAAATTAAGTAGTTTGGGTCATTAAAAGTGTCCCATGCTTCTTATTGATTTAATTTATTTTAAAAAGGTAGGGGTGGAGATAAGAATGTTGCACCCTCTCTCTCTTTCTCTTTTTTTTTTTTTTTAAGTCTGAAGGCTACCACCTATACAGATAGTTAAAATAATTTCTGGGGCAAATTGTTCCATATTCTTCACAATAACATTAAGTTTTGTTATTCAGGTGAGTATTATGCCGTCCTGTTAAGCAGACATCTAGAAATCTTTCAGTAGTCCATGCAGCCTTTGTCAGGGCAAAAACTTGTAGAACTTCTCGGACTACAATGATCTCTGGATATTCAAAAATTCTCAAAAATTTGAGATAAATGTCTAACAGCTTGAAAGAAATGAACTGGAATGTGGGCAGAGAGCCTCTTTTGTCCTTCGCCTTCTTAAGTTTTTGTTTTTCTGCTTGCATAATTAGGAAGAGAATATAATATCTGAGGTGAAGGAGGGGTGTGTGCAGATGGATCAGTGGAAGGGAAAACGTTCGGAGAGTGGTGTGCAGGATCTTAGCTGTCACTCTAAGTTGTTTGATCTCGGCATGCTGACACATGTGCTTATTTCTTTATCCTGTACTCCATTGAGCCCATTCTATTTACTGTCATATCCAAGCACCTGATATAACAAGTATCCAGTCAGCTTTATTTGATGAGCAGAGGAGAATTCTCCATCACTTTTCTATCGTCTCTTTTTTCCCCCTTAAGATCTTTCTGGTATGGTGGGCTCTGTGAGGGATGGTGACAACCCAGACACCCTAACTTTTCTGATGGGCTATCTCTGGCACCTGAATAGAAGGAGAATTATGTATTGCAATACATAAGTAGGCCTGACAGCCTACATACTCTATGTATGTGATCTGAAATGGGCAGCAGGGTTCCACACCTGTGAGAAATGAGCAACTCAATATGAAAATGCATAGGATGCACCGACACACCTATAATTTGACCTAATTTTTTATTTAGTCTATATCTTCTGCATCAGTTAAGTGGCTGTTCCTGTCAGAAAATATTTCAATAATTTCCATTATTCTTTTGATAACATGCATTATTATTCGGGGGGGGGGGAGAATCACCCATGGTATGTTATTTAAGTAGACCCTTAAGAATAGTTACGTTGTGAAGCATGGCCGCTCCTAACTGTAATCCCAACACTGAGGAGCCAGAGAGACAAGAAGACAACTGTGAATTCAAGGTCAGCCTGGACTAGATTGTAGACCTGCCTTTGAAAAGACAATCAAAAGAATAGTTACATAGTATTTGGTGCTTTCTCCCTCACTTTTAATGGAGAGAGCAGACCAGGTATCAAATATATAATCTGTTAACACACATTTGCAGATTCTTTTAAAAATGCATGAATATGAAAATACCCTCCACAGCCTCCATCAGATTTCTCCTTCACGTTGCATAATTTTGATCTCAGTGTGCTGACACATTTATGCCATTATGCCAGCTATTTACCAGAGCTATTTAAATGGAAGAACTTTATAGATTTTTTTCAATATATACCCTGATTTACACTTAGCGGTAAAGTTGTCACTGACCTTTTAAGTGGAGCTGTCCAGATGGCAATAAATGTCAACTGATCCTTGTGCAGAAACAGGTGATAACTAAGGGGTTAGACTAAATCTTCCGGATGGAAAACCTGCAGTATTTCCTAGGAGTAGTGGCCTGTTATGGAAATGTAAACACTTTATCACTCAATAAGGAACATTTGATTTGCATATCTGATGCAGCTGGGGTTGGACTGTTGAGGATGGATCGGAGTCTCTGTGAAGGCAGGGACCCTGTCCAGTGCTTCCCCGATATCTTGTTGATTACTGAGTATCTGAAGGTAGGAGACACTTCTGTAAATCTACCGTGAAGGAGGATAAAGTGCAGGGTGTGCTCGTGCCGTATAGCATCCATCAGCCTGGATCTACTCCTCATATCAATTGTGAGGAATGTTGCTGGGAATGACTTTGATGGACAGTTATGACTTTTCGATAGAGTCCTCTTGATTGATGGTCTAACAGACTGCCCTCCCATCTCTAATTTCATTTCTGCTTTCACAGGCCGTCATTTTGGAAAATGAAGAACTTCCCAAACTCTTCCTTGATTTCCTCAATGTAAGACACTTGCCCTCCCTACCGAAGGCAGAAAGCTGTGGGTAAGAACTGCTATTTACGTTGTGGATGTGTATTTTAAGTTACTCTTCAATGACTGATGGTCCTAACAAGTACCCAAGAGTGGTGCCACACGGCAAGCTGGCCACATCTAAGCTCTTAGTTGAATCATTATTCTCTCTCATTTCCCTCTGCTTATAGTGAGAGGAATCCCTCCCAAGTCTTCGCATCCATCCTGCAGCAAGTGGTCTAGTCAAACCCATGCCTAGGCATAAGGAACTAACCTTTTAAATGATGGTGTCACATAGTGTCACAGGTGCAGAGTGTAATCAAGGGCAGTCCCTTGACTTGTGCTAAGTTTGTATATTCATATAGCTTTTTAAAGGTATACTTTTATTATTTATGTGTGTGCTTGTGCCTATGTATTATTCATGTGTGTGTGGAGGTGGGGGTGCCTGTGGAATCTAGAAGAGGCCATCAGCTCCGCCAGCACTGTAGTTACAGACAGTTGTGTGTTGCCTGGCATGGCACTGAGATCCCAACTCAGGTCCTCTGGAAGAGCAACAAGTGTTCTTAACACCTCACCATCTCTCTGGACCCCATATTCGTACAGTTTAAAGCTATAGATGACTTTAGAGATCATTGGTCCAACACCCCTCATTTGATTGTTGGTCAGAGACACAGTATTTAAGTGCCATCCCCAAGCCATGCAAGTGGCAGAACCCAGGCCTTCCATGGAGGGCTGCCTTCTTCTCTGACCACTGCTTTTCCCTCAGGAACTCATAACTGATGGGCTGTAGTCCCCAGCCACTGTTAACCATGGAATTAGAGGTGCAAAATCCCTGGCATCTGGAGAAAGTTCTTCTAAAGACTGAAATCTGCAGCAAACTGGGCAGAGCTAGCCTCTGAAAGCAGTTAGCAACACCCCAGGCCAGTCAGTCAGTCCCCAGAGATATAAGGCAACACAAATCTAGCAGGGCACAGGGATTTGCCATTCTTTCCCTCTGTCTCCAGCCCATTCCTGAGATCAGGTTGAACCTTGGCAGTCTACAGAGTGCAGGGCAGTAGATAGATACCTTTCGCAGGTCCCAATCAGCACTGTTGACTCAAGGTTACTTGCTACTCACTCCAGAGCCTGAATTATATTCCATACTCACCAAGTGATCTATGTGGCCGGTGTGTTCTGTCCCAAGCTGTGTATGTGTGTTTCCTGGGACCGTGGGTTTATAGATGCTCTTGAGTTTTACACAGCAACATTAACAATTACAGTGAATGAGGTCTTCTTCTATAATAACCCCAAAATTGTAATAAGGTGTAGATGGAATTTTCTGTCCCACCTGGTCCCACAGCCATTTAGTTCCAGAAAAACATACAGAGGCTTATATTAATTATAAACTGTTTGGCCTATTGCTTAGGCTTATTACTAACAAACTCTTACAACTTAACCCATAATTCTTATCTATGTTTAGCCACATGGCTTGGTACCTTTACTCAGTAAGGCGTTCTCATCTTACTTCCTCTGTATCTGGCAGGTGATTGCTTCCCTGCCTTTCCTCTTCCCAGACTTATCCTAGTCTGGTAGCCCCACTGGACTTCCTGCTTGGCTACTGGCCAATCAGCATTTTATTAAACCAATACAAGCGACAAATCTTTACAGTGTACAAGAGCATTATCCCACATCATTAATGCTGTGTGATTTTTTTTAATTTTTGAAAATCCATTTACTTTATATCTTTAATTTAAAAACAATCCCATTTTACATATCAATCCCCCTCCCCCATCCTTATCACTCCCATCCTCCCATGCCCCCTACCAACCCCTCCAACACCCCTCACCCACTCCCCAAGCATAGTGAGGCCTTCTATGGAGGATCGTCAAAGTCTGTCACATAATTTGGGGGAGGGCCTAGGCCCTCCTCCATGTATCTGGGCTAAGAGAGTATCCCCTTCATAGGGGCACTAGGGATAAATAAATACTGGTTTCACTGTTAGAAGTCCCATGGACTTCCCAGAAGGCTGTGTGATTTTTAAGTGATCTTAAGGAAAATTGAAATGCCCAGAGTCTTCCAGGCTGAAGATTTCTTAGAATGAGTTATCAGCCATGCTGAGGCTCAGTACAAACTCAACTTTTCTGTTGTTTCCCAATCCAGTACTAAGGATACTAACATTTTGCTTTGCTAGCACAAAAATATTGGCCCAACTTAATTGTTTTTTTTTTCTTTCTTTCTTTTCTAAAATTTTCAGATCTTTTGATGAGACAGAATCTGAAGAGTCAAGGTAAGAACTAACACCAGTCAATGAGGAGTTATAGAAATCAATACTAGAACTGTAGTTTGTTCAATGTCTAACTACCCGTAATATATCTGTTTAAAGTCATGTTTCTCTTGAAAACCTCTGTTGGATATTGGTTTTAAGATGATAAATATTTGACAGGAATTTCCAGGGTTAACTGCTTATAATTGGGAATAAAAAAGTTAAGAGCCCCACATGGCTTCACGCAAGTAATAAGAATACTGTTTTACTTACAATCAAATCACAGTTTCGGAAAGTACTTTCCAGCAGTGATATTTACTGCATAGATGAGTGTCTGTCTCATATCCCAGAGAGAAATATTTGGAAGGCAGGTGCAGCGCCCATGACTTCCCTCTGTGTGTTTGCTGTTATTCCTCCACACTGGTAGATGCAGAGACCTAGAGACATCCCACACAGCAGTTTGATCCCCTCAAAGCTAGTTTGTAGTGTTTTCTGTTTACCATCGTCCCCTGATGCTGACATGCCTGTTTTTGACCTTTCCAGCAAGCTGTCCCACCAGCCGGTGCTGCTGTTCCTTGGGGATCCATACGTCTTGCCTGCAGCCAGTGGTAATCAAACCTGTCATCTGCTAACAGCTCTTTACTGATCTGCCCCCGCACCACATAAACCACGTTTGTAATACGGGTCTAACAGAGTGACATCGGTCCAGGGCTTAATCATCTGCCAATAAACCAGTGCTCTTGGTGTAAGAGACATTTAGAATTTTAATTGGGGCCGGCCTTTCAGGAGGAAATGTAATTTTTCTTTCTCTCTTCCTAGCCTATTTTGAATTAGAGAAAGAAGGGATAAAGGTATTTATTTTTCTTCTCTCTCTTTTGTGGTGTTTTTTAGACTGCTGCTTGTTTTTAATCTAGATGTCAGAGTTCAGGTTGAAGGTCCTAGTCTTTCTTTAAAAAATGCTTCCTTCCAAAAGCCATGTGCATACATTGCATATATTCCTGTGCTTCCATTTAGGTTTCAATGTCTTTGATGATAGACTATATATTTTTAAGTTATATACTTTAAATACAACTAATTGATTTAAGTATAACCACAATCAATATTTTAGCATGCATCTTCTTTTGGTTCCAATTCCCTAGAGTCCCTCTTAGTGTTCTCCTATGCGTCGTCATTCCCAGAGGACATTCTCAGACATCATCTCAGTTTGCAAAGGGCCATATAAAACAGGCTCAGCAGGTCCTATCACTGGCTAAATGGGGAAATTCCGACTTAAAGATTTTGGTGACTTGCCAGGCTCAGATGTCCCTTTTGAGGTCCAGGTTTCCCTTCTTTGCTTTTATTGTATCTGGTCTCCTACCTCTGAAAATCACAAATATCAAGCCACAGGAAAGCATACATGAAGGATCTATTGTTTCTGTCAACAAAACCTTCCTATGAGCTGGAGGTAGGAGTGTCTTCAGATCACCCACTTATCTACCAGTAAAGGGAAGGTGACCAGAACGCAGACGTAGATCACTAAGAGACTCGTCTGACTCTGTTCAGAGAGTTGCCTCAGTTGCAAAGAATATGGCTTTTGGTGTACATCTTCTCAGTGAGGAGCAGTTACTGCTCTTAAGGACTGCTTCCTGTTAACATATTTATATTAATTAATTATTAGGTAATGTAGTAGCTGGTGTTGTATCACAATCTTCTGTTTAGCAAATAGAGTAAACCTAGTCTAAATGGTCGTATTATCTTTTTAAAATGGCTCCATAGGTAATTGTCCCAGAATTGTCTCTGTTGAGATAGTTCATATACCTGTCAGATAGTTTCTGTAGTGGGGGAACAGAATGATGACTGGCCAGGAACAGCCAGGGGCTTGGTGGAAACTGGGAACAGGGTTGGGTCGTGCATTTTGTGATCCATACATCCAGTTCTTTAAGCTTATTAAGCAGCACATAGTACACACTTGACAGCGGAAACCAGAGGATACTTCTGGGAGGCAACGTCAGGACAGATGTGCAAAGCAGGAAGATTAAGGTGTGTGTATCGTTCGTTGGTCACTTGATAGTGTGGCTCAAAATAAGGGAAAGCGTATTTGAGAGTAACTGAATTAATGGGTTTGGTGGACAGGAGGCCTACCCTCAGGTTATAGTCTTAAACTTTTTGCAGACCCAGTTGTAGAAATCAGACTTCTCTGACCCTTGAGAAATGTTATCTTACCACACTGTGTTCATAAGATGCCTTTTAGCGAGTAGAAGTCGTTATTCCTGAAAATACTGAATGTGGAAATCTGGAGATTTACTGACCCCCCCCCCCCCCCATTTACAGCTACTGCCTTTACATTTCAGACATTCTGCCTAAATGTCCCTTTATAAAATAATAATGGCTTTTTGGTAAAAAGTTTGCCACTCAAGGATAAAAATTGGAGTTCCACCCCACAGAACCTACAGGGGAAAAAAAAAAAAAAAAAGCCAGGCATGATGGTGCATTTGTAAGCCAGCACTTTAGAGGTGGACAGGAGGATCCCTGGAGCTCACTGGCTAGGCAGCCTAGCTGGTCAGTGTGCTGTTCATCACTGAGACCCTATCTTAAAATGCAAGGTGGAATGACACTGGAGGTTGACTTTTATCTTCCAAATGCATGTACATACATGCACACACTCGAGTGTGTATGCACACTCTCAAGAGCGCGCATGCACTTACACACACACACACACACACACACACACAGAGAGAGAGAGAGAGAGAGAGAGACAAAGAAAAAATTAACATCACAGACTCAGGACTGATAGCTGGGAAACCAACACAGGACCGACCCAGACCCCCTGAATGTGGTGTTAGTTAGGAGGACTGGGCAGTCTATGGGGCCTCTAGTAATGGATCAGTATTTATCCCTAGTATAAGAATGGACTTTGGGAGCCCATTCCACATAAAGGGATACTCCCTCAGCCTAGACACATAGGGGAGGGCCTGGACTCTGCTCCAAATGATATGACAGACTTTGAAGATCCCCAGTGGAAGGCCTCACTCTTCCTGAGGAGCAGAAAGAAGTTGGGATAGGGGGTTGGAGCCGGGGGGGGGGGGGGGGGGGGGGGGGGGCAGGGGGAGGAGAGGAGAGAGAGGGAATTGGGATTGAAATGTAAAACAAGCTTGCTTCAAATTTAAATTAGAAAAAAAGAAGCTGATAAACTGATCATTACCTTCTTAGCTTTTGACATAAAAGTCAAGAGAATACCCTCCATTTTAAAGACTGTCCTATTTCTGCTTTGTTTATGAGTGCCTTGCTGTGCATATGCACATGCACCATCTGTGGGCCTGCAGAGGATCCTGAATAGCAGTTGTAGATGTAGTTTGTGAGCCCCCATGTGGGTGCTAGGAACCAAACTCAGGTCCCCAAGAGCAGCCGGTGCTCTTAACCAGTAAGCCATCTCTGGCCTCCAGAGAGAACTCTCTTGATAGCCTCAAAAGCACATGTTTTGACCTTTGTCTTAAATTTTCTGGAAAATACAAAACAACCCTTTCCAAGGACCCAGCTATCCTCAGGGTGGCTGAACATTCTGGACAGTTCTCTCCTTTGCCCTTTCATCAGCTTTAGGTGTGCTGGCCATATCCTCTCCCTTCAAACGCTGTCTCACCCTTGGCTTTCCCATCAAAGGCTGGACGCTGCTCACTGAGCTTTTCCTGAAATAAGCCACTGCTCCTGGCCTTCAACTACCCCATCCATTCAACTGAGAGGCGGTATTGTGCTTCCAACACAGACACTTGCTGAGGTTCGCAAGAACTCTGTGGTCTACTCCAGATCATCTATCCTCATGGACTCTGCTTGGTGCCAGCTACTCTGCAGTTCATTCTGGGCCTCAAGTGCACCTACCCTGCCAACTCTACCCCCAGGGCATCTGCCCTGCCTACCCTACCCCCGCCAGGGTACCTACCCTGCTAACCCTACCCCCAGGGCATCTGCCCTGCCCGTCCTACTGACCCTGCCAACCCTACCCCCAGGGCACCTGCCCTGCCCATCCCACTAACCCTGCCAGCCCCAAAGGCTCTACCCTCAGGGTATTTGCCTTGACAACCCTACCTCCAGGACTCCTGCTGCTTCCTCCTTGAATCTTCTGGTTGGCATGTTTGGGAGGGCCTTGTGTTGATTGTCATTGCTTTGAAGCCTTTACTTCCTCCTTCTTGGAACCAGCTTTGTTCTGTTGTTGTTGCTTGGGGTGAATGTTCATTAGATAGAGAACTGCCACTAAAAATAACAAGAAATGTATTCCATGTTGTAGTCCTTACCCTCTCCTCCCTGTGGTAAACAAAGGAAAGAACAGTCTGGCAAGCAGGAATGGACATTGTATTCGATCGTAGCCATGGGGAGGTCTGAATCTAAAGTTTGAAGTTCGGTGGACCGAGGAGTGGGGACAGGCACAAAACCGGTTACCTCACCGGTGACCATTAGATTGGCAGGCCCTCCAGTCTATCCATTTTTCCTCAGAGAAACCTGTTGGCTTCCTGCAGTAGAAATGGCTGCAGACTATGTCCTCTAGAGGGCCTCTCCACTGGCTTCTCCCTGTGCAGGGGACACTTTCTCCTGGACACCTCATAGCTGCCTCCTAGGGCACCTCATTCAGGCCACTCAAGCAGCCCTTTCCTGCTGAGCCTTCTTTCCCTTTCCTGTCCCCTGGCCTGTAACCTGTGTTCTGCCTTGTGTCCTTTCTTCTAAACTTCTGTCTGACATATTAATCATGGTATAGATTTACTCATCGGACATAACAGGGTTTTCATTGTTGTTTTATGGGACTTCGTTGAATCCACTTAAATATGTTCATGGTGTAAATTAACTGTATTTAAGTAGATTTTCAGGTTTCAGATGGCAAAGGATAAGAATATGCTACCTGTGTGAAATATGTTTAGATATGTTATTGAAAGTTAGTTAGTGGTTCAATATATTAATAACTGTATGAGAAATAAATTTAAAGTTAGAATAGCTAGACTATTTCTTCAGATATGCAGATATATTTAAAAGCCTGCTGAAGGCTTTTAAAGCTCTGACCTATAAAAGTGTGTGTGTGTGTGTGTGTGTGTGTGTGTGTGTGTGTGTGTAACAGAAAGGCACTTAGAAAGCCAGTGTCATCAGCCAGAACTCAATATTCATGCAGTACACAGATTTGTTTAAACATTTTATTTGTATCATTTGCTTGCTAGCGCCTATTCCATAGCCTGGACAGAGGCTGTATTTATACTTCCGGTAACTAGGTGGGTGTATGGCACATGGTAATGGCCAAGTGTTTACTGAGTATGAGGCCCAGCCCATGAACTTGGTTTCACTCGCCAACTTTTCAGTAACCTGCAAAGAAGGTGCTGGGGAGAAGTCCTCTTTACCACTGTTAAAACAACTCAGCTGTGTTCATAGGTCTGGGAAGTGACCCCCAGTGTGCAGCCATTTCAGTAAACATTTGCTAAGATAAATCAGTGTATCCTTGACTAGCCTTAAAGGTGTTTCAAACTCAACGGGGCCCAAACTGAAGTGATTGGCTTCTAGTTCACTCTCCTTCCTCAGCTTCTCTCACAACCCTCTGGCTTAGTCAGACAGAAACCCACGGAGCTCCTGTGGTGACTTCACGTATTATTAGTTATCTCCTCCTACTGCCCTCTCTCTCCTCCTCCATCTTCCTTCTCCTTTCTTCCAGCCTTTCTATGAGACAGGGTCTTTGAATATAATCTAGGTTGTCCTTGAATTTGGGGTCCTGGGATTACAAGCACACACCACCCCCATCTAGCTCGATCCTTGACTTCTCCCCTTTCTCTGCTAGTCACTTGTCAGGTCACATCCTTCATTTCTCTAGAATCCATCCACTTTTCTGTGTCCTGCATCAGGACCTCCCTCGGAACTGTAGCAGTAACCAAACTGACCTGTGTCCCCTTCACACTTGCTTCGGTCCATCCTCTGCATGGTGGTCAGTCAAAATTTCATGTTTTGCTTCAACATAAAACCCCTCAATGGCCTCCAGAGCACCAGCCCCCTCCCTGCATCAACCTCCACTGATGATGACTCTGAACCCTCTAGGCTCCCTTGACATAGACTGTTCTGTAGCTTCCTATTCCCCTGGGGCCTGCGCACCTTCTCTGATGAAGCCTAGTCCACTTGTACGTGACTTTACATGGTAGGCACTCCATAGAGAATGGATGTATAGAAAGACGTATTCAGGAATCGGTCCATTTGCATAGAAACTCTTTTCAGAGTGGTCAGCCTTCTCCTAAGTCCTGACATAATTGTCTACAGATCGAATTGTAACCCTGAATGCCTGAGTCATGAGAAGATTGATCCCCCTGCACAGTCTGCTATACCTTACCTGCTCTCACACCAGAAACTAGCTCAACATACTGTGTGTACCTCCGTATTCCCTTTGTGCCTTCTACAAGAGTGAGGCTGGTTTCTCAAGCTTGACAGAATGACTTTTGTTAGAATTTTGCCCTTTGGAGCTAAAATACAGACCCCCATCTTTCTACTCTCCAGAAGCACGCCCATAACAAGTCCATACACGACAACTTGGCCCAAGTGGCTCCCTAAGCCTCAGTGAAAAAACCGCAGCCAAGTATTCCCCGTAGAAATCTTGGAATTCCTTCAAGTGTATTGAGACTTCGTTAGAAATTGAATTGCCAGCGTAATCCATCTTCCTTGTGAGGAAACATCCAGATAAAGAGCCAGGGCCTAGCGGCATTAACCATTAGAAGAGCCGCCTGAATGGATAACATTACAAATCTGGCTGTGCAATCCTGCAGTACCTGGTGGGAGCCAAAATGGCCTCTGGCTGACAAGCACAAATGGTAGTGCTCCTCGGCCATGAGAGAATATGCCCAAGTAGTAGCCCTGGCCTCTGACACTGTGGCCTTGATCTCTGACCTACTTTCCTGACCAAGGGCAAATGGCTCTGTCATGTGGACTCCAGAGAGATGTGGTGGCTCCGACCTTTGTCCATAAACACAATTATACATTGTTGATGCACGTTAAGAAAAGTGGCTTTCCTTTTTCTTTTTCAGATTTTCCAAATGTGGTCATTGAAGGAGTTCTTCATGGGATATTTTACTCTCATCTGCAGCCCAGGTAGACATCCTACCTGGCTGGAAGAAGCTGAAGCGAGTTTCAGTGTCAATGGCAAGAATATCTATCTGATAGCTCTACCAACTTACCTGAAACTCCGTGACACCATAGCTCTGGCTAGTGGGAAACTTCACAGTCTAGCTTCCTTCTGAACAGGGGTGTTTCTATTAGAATGGTGCTTTTAAAATTAGAAACTGAACCAGGGCAGCAGCGTCAGTTTAAGGTCAATTGTTTGAGCAAAAGGGAGGTTCCAATATAGGAAGTCGGGACCAAGAGGCCACTGGGGAGTCTTGGGAGCAGCGAGCGCCACCAGAGCCAGCTTCTGCTTCAATTGCACCATCTGCTAATTGGAAATCATAGCTTGAGTCATGCTGACACTGATCAACTTTGGTGGCCTTAGTTTACAGACCTTGACAACACTCATCTCAGCAGGGGATACTGTATCCAGGGGTGCTGGCACCAGAAGAGGGTCCTGGGACCCATTGTGCTAAGTGTGAGAAAAAGACCACACTGGAAATTGAATTGTACTGACAATAGAATGCATTGAAGAACAGAATGCATTCTAGTTTCCATCACAGTGGAGTTGCCTCTCACCTGCAGTTTGGCTTCCAGCATCGGTGCTTGAGATGAAATAGGGTGTTGGCACTATCCGTGAGCGTCTCCTAGGAAGACACTATGCAGGAAGTCTGGACTCCCATTTTTAACTCTAGTGTTGGAAAGCATGAGTGCTCCTCTGAAGACCAGCTGACACCCCTGATGAAGTCCCAGGGGCCATTTCCTATAGAAAGTACACACTCCAAACACTAGAATCACACTGCAAAGTTCTTGTTCCAGTGGGAGTCAAATGTGAATTGACAGCAGCTGCAACAGGACCAGATGTACTGTCTGTGTCTGGGTTTCCTCCACAGTATACACCATCTTGGTATAGCCACGAGCTTTTGTGTGGTTGTTCTTATAGGTTTCTTTTTACTGACATCACGTATGGATTAATGTGAGTTAGGTGTTTGATGCTGTCTCTCCACTGGATGTCACACAGATGGTCATCTTTGCTTAGTGACAGATCTGAGCATATGTCTACCTGTGTGTATGTATGTATGTGCTGATGAACAACCTACTTATGGTGTGGATTTTCATACATTTAAATGTTGGAGAAAATGTTGACAATTGAAACTACCATGTCATGAATTTTTATTAGAGTCTAAACCTACAGATTGAAAGCCTGCTGCAAACTTTAAAGATACGTTTTTATGATTGATTGTGTAATTACTTGTTAGGAATAAAGTAATCAAGTGTTATCAGCGGAAAGAAAAAAACAACTAAATGGTGAAGTACTAGAGATACTTTTTTAAATGTTTTTATGTTATTAGCTATTTTGAGTTAAATAAAAACAAATAAAAGTATTTGAATTTGTGTTTTTCCTAGAATAACTGGAGGAATAGATTGTGTCTCTTTCTACATATGCACAGTACATAAATATAACCATTCTCATGTTTCACTAGACATATATTTCTGTTCTGGTGGAATAGTACATTACTGCATGTATTATTAAGCTAGCTGCTACTCATTAAATACTTAATGATTGACCAAGTTAAAACTTTTTTAAATAAATAAAGACCAAACATATGGTGGTATGTTTCTTTTAACTGATATTGGTAGCTCACAGGTAGCTCACACCTCTGAGGCAGAGGCAGGAGGATCACTGTAAGTTTGAAGCCAATCTGGTATAGCTAGCTAGGTTCAGGCCAGCCAGGAATACATAGTGAGACCTTGTATCAAAACCAAGACAAAGATAAACCATTCTTTTCTGGAAGTTAACTCACATATTAGCAATGACCTTTTTTAAAAATGCATTTAAACATTTAGTATATGGGCTAGAGCGATGGCTTAGTGGTTAATAACAGCTTAAGAGCACTGGCTGTTCTTCCAGAAGTCCTGCGTTCAATTCCCAGCACCCACAGGGTGGCTCACAAGCATCTGAACCATCTATACTTTACTCACACAAGTTCTGATGCTCTCTTCAAGTATGGATACATGCAGACAAAACATCCATACACATAAAATACATGAATAAATCTTTAGTATATAATCTTATTGCTTGGGGTTCTTACAGGAACTATAAACCACTGTAGGTCTTTTGAACATAAAGAGTTGTATATTCGAAGCTGAGAAGACCTGAGTCAGTTTCCCAGTACCCACCTCAAAGGCCTGACAACACACTCCTATAATCCCAACACTGTCGAGGTGGAGACAGAGGATTCATGGGGCTCTCTGGCCAACAAGTTTAGTTGGCTTGGTAACTTCCACCATCATTGAAAGACCTTGTTTCAAAAACAAACAAACAAACAAACAAAAAACAAAAACAAAGTGAGAGCCATTGAGGAAGACACCCAGTATCAACTGCTGGCCTCTGCATGTATGCACATTCACACGTAAACACACACATCAAAATTCAAAACCAAGCAAACCCATGATTTGCCAGCCAGTATCCACATCCCAGAGCAATGGGAAGCTAGCATTCATCCCACAGCCCCCCACATTTCCCCACCCCATCGCCCATCAACATATAACATATGCAGTGTAATGTCTTCCCCACTACAGTGGAATCTGAGAGGAAGCTGTTAGCCTTTTGATCAACATGGCTCAGGACACACTAGGAACATGATGGTGTATATTTCTATGGTTAGAAGTATAAAAAACGCAAAAAGATATATAAAGAAACCCCTCCTCTCATTCCAATCCTTGAATACCCTAGTCCCCGCCTATAAACAGCCATGGTACTTAGATTTTCTGTGTAGTACTTTGAGAGAGAATTCCTCCATAGGCAAGAATATATTGTCCATCTACTGTTTGTTTGATTTGATTTTCTAAGATTATGATATGTGTATGAGTATGTTGTCTGTATGTATGTACAGCACATGCATACTTGCCTGGGGCCCACAGAAGCCAGGAGAGTGTCAGGTTGCCCAGAAGTGGAGTAACAGGTGGTTGTGAGTGGCCATGTGGGTGTCAGGAACTGAACCCAGGTCCTCTCCAATAGCAACAGTGTTTTTAACTCACCCATCATCTAATGTTGATATATCCTGTTTCCCCCCTTTTTACAAACATGGCAACCTACAATGCTCATCTTTTATACATATTTTCATGTAATTACACATCTTGACAGTCTACATTAGTATACAAAGTATGTTTCTTTTTACAGTTGTATACCTCTGCTGCAATTTATGCAACTGGTATGATATTTGTGAATATGCTGACATTTTTCTTCTATAAAAACACCACAGACAACTTTGTGTGTATGTGTATGTACACATTAATTTTAATAATAATTTTCAAAAGTTGATGATCACAGCAAAACATTCACATAAAAACCCATGTGTAGATGCACACTTATTTTATTATTGGGTTCTGCTGAGCATGTGTAAAATATACTTACAATATTTCACTCAGGTTCCCTTGTGCATGGTTGTGTTGCTATGCAGGTTGAGCACTGTACAAGACCACACTGTGCTGTACACAAGTTGCACAATGTGAGTGGTACATTGAGCCATGGCTGGGGCTCTGCACATGATGAAGTAATAAAAAAACCTGATCCATTCAAAGCGTATATTCATGAGCAATAGAGAAGTAAAGGAACAGAGGACAGAAGTAAGAAGGAAAAGAAAACTCCCATTGCTACTTGATCCAGGATGTAGGGTAGCCCACCTGCTCCATCCACACAGCTGTTTGACATTCTGCCCACCCTGTCCCCGGGTGCCTGTTCTGTGCAAAGCTGCTCTCTTACCTCACCTCTACTCATTTGCATACTGGCTTCCCTGGCCCTGGTGTCCTTTCCTCTGATGTTACTTCCCCTTGTTGCCCTTCAAAAGTCATACATGTACAGTGCTTCATGGCATCATGATCATGGCTGCCTGGCAAACCCCGAATATAGAAACTTACTTTGGACAGTGTGGAAATCCCAGAGTCACAGGAGAAATAATCCCACTTCAAAACTGACAGAGGGCTTCTGTCTCTCTGGTTAACTTTGATCAATGGACAGTGGCTGCTTAGCACTTTGTTGATTCTGGCAGAATTTCCATATGACTCGGTGATTCTGGACATGGGGGCCACAGCTGAAGATGGCATTTGGGTATCTGTGTTGGCAGAATTGTGTACAGAAGGAGAAATGAACTAAGTGCCCATCTGTGGAGGAATGACTGAAAAACAAGTGAATTCTGGTGTGTGCTGTTGGATGAACCTTGAAGACATGAGTGGAATAAGCCAGTCATGAAAGGACAAATAATGGATGACTCCATTTATATGTGGTATTTAGAGTAGTGAGATTCCCAGACACCAAAATATGGTGGTGAGTGTGCCAGAGGCTGCAGGAAGGGGACATGAGGAGTTAGTGTTGCATGGGTTTCTTTGGAAAAGATGACAGTTCTGGAGATGGACAGTTGTACAATGTGGATGTGCTCAATGTTCACCACTAAAAACAATCCAAATGATTGAGTGAGTTCATTGTGTGTCTCTTTCACCTCAATGGGAAACAACCCGAAGGGGGTGATTGGGGCACGTGGAGCTCTGTGAGTAGTCACACGTGCGTGTGCACGCACACACACCATTGCTAATCTCAGACCTAGAAACTTCTAAAAGTCAAACTCAACCGCCTCAACACTCCCTACATTTGTGCTCTCTTTAATAGCCCACTGAGTCTAATTAACGCTGCTTGAATGAACATGTATGAAGCTCTGCTGGTTGGTTTCTGCCAGCTTGACACAAGCTAGAGTCTCCTGTGAAGAAGGAAGCTCAGTTGAAGAATTGCCTGTGGGAATTGTACTGTGGGAATGTCTGTGACGTATTTTCTCAGTGAATGATTGGTGGGAAATGGTCCAACCCACTGTGGTCAGCACCACCTGTGGGTAGATGGTCCTGGATTGAATAAGAAAGTTGAGTGAGCCATGATGGCAGTCCAGTAAGCAGTGTTCTATATCTGCTTCGCTTTCTGCTCTGCCTGGGCTCCTGCCTTAACCTGTGATAGATTGGGATTGGGATGTGTAAACTGAACGAACCCTTTCCTCCCAAAGTTGCTTTTGGGCATGGTCTTTTTCACAGCAAAAGAAAGCAAAGCAGGACAGGGGCCATCCACCATGCCATAAGGTACACAGCAGAGGCCACACCCCCAAAGAAAAATAACTCTTCCCCTTTCAGCAGCTGGCAGTTGCTGACAGCTTCTCAGCTAGAGGTGGACTTTCACAAGTCATTTCTCAATCCATGCTGGCTAGATCTTACATAGACATTGTGTTGGTGGCCATAGCTGTTGTAAGTTCTTATGTGTAATGGCCATGTCATATCCAGAAGACAGTATCTTACATTCTTTCTGTCCTCTCATAATACTTGAGAGCTTTGGAGAGTAGGGGTTAATACAAATGTCATTTATTCTCAGCACTTTGGCAAGTTATGAGTCTCTATGTTAACCACTGTCAACAGCAAACAGAAATTTCTTTGACAAAGATTGAGAGCAGCATACATTTATGGGTATAATCATAAATATTTAAAAGGCAGTTTGACAACATACCCATTTAGAAAAATGATAGTAGCATCCCCATGGGCTTGTGATCTGAGCCATGTGCTTTTGACCAGTTTATGATCCAGGCATTACTCTTTCCTGTAGAGCAGGCTTCAAGTCCAAATCATTGTGATTGGTTGCCTATATTATAGTCATGCCACCATTACATCAGTAGGTACCACTTGTCTAACAGGTCAATATTGTAGCAAACTGGGTCTACCACCAGATAGTCCATTGATTACGTCTCACCCAGCATCCTCCTTACATGGTACCTTGGGCACTATGAAAGCTCATCAGCAGAGAGGAAGTTTCCAGATCAGTTCCAGTTTGATTTCTCAATGTCTTGTCATCAATGTGTGTTGTGTCTTCAGCATTAGAGTCATACAATACTACCTAGCTATACAGGGCAACAAAGATCAATAGCAACAACCTGTGTTGTTTGGGGACCCTCCGGGGCCTTCTGATTAGCAAGTTTAGCATCTTGAGGGATTTTTCTCCCCCTGTCTCTTCTGTTCTCACTCTCTTATACCTCAAACTTTCTCCACTCTCTCTGTGTGTCTTTGAGAAAATATACTGTGTTGCCTTGGCTGGGCTCAAACTCTTGGGCTCAAGTGATCCTCCTGCCTCAGCCTTTTGAGTAGCTAGGATTGCAGACACCTACCATTGCACCTGGCTGAGAAATTTGATAAAATTACTTTAATAACTCCTTCAGAATCCAGTATCCAAATCATACCTCTTCAAGGTATTACATGTGGCCACAACAAAGGTGATTGATAGGTTTGAGGATCATTCTCACTCAATGTGGTTATACAGTGGGGGAATTCTATATTTACTTATCTATCCATTCATTCAGTGAAATACAACT